GAGGTGTCCCCACGGTGCTGACCCCGTCTCTGTCCCCGTGTCCCCGAGGGGACACAGCGCCGTGGCTCCGCGGCAGCGCCGGACACCTCGGGATGACCCTGGTGGGCTCCAAGGACGGCGGGTTCGTGGTGAGCGCGGAGCGCCCGCGGAGGGAAACGCGGGCGCGGGGCGGGGTTGGGGCGGGATGTGTCACCCGCTGCTGTGTCGCCCGTGTCACCCCTCCCCGCTTGTCTCCCAGGCGTGTGCCCCGCTTTGGTCCCAGGAATGCGGCACCTCCGTGTTCAGCTCCGGCCGCTGCGTCCGCCTGGACGAGGAGCTGCGGCTCGTGGGGACGGTCGCGCCCACGGCACAGCGTGAGTGGGGCGCTGGGACGGACTGGGACGGACTGGGACGGACTGGGAGGTGCCACCCAGGTGTCGCTGTGTCCCTCTGCCAGGCTGCTCCACCTACATGGACATCGTCCTGGTGCTGGACGGCTCCAACAGCATCTATCCCTGGGAGGAGGTGCAGGAATTCCTCGGGAACATCCTGGGGCGCTTCTTCATCGGCCCCGGGCAGACCCAGGTCAGGGGGTGGCACCGGGGCCACCGTGGTGTCCCCCGAGGCTGGGACAGTGTTCCCGGGGCTATAGTGGTGTGCCCAGGGCATTGTTATGCCCGGGGCAAGGTGATTATCCCCAGGGCTGTGCTGTTGTCCCTGGGGTGGTGCCACCCTCGGGGTGATGCCACCCCTAGAGTGATGTCATTGTCCCCAGGGTGACGCCACCCCTGTGGAGATGCCACCCCTGGGCTGATGTCACTGTCCCCAGGGTGATGCCACCCCTGGGGTGGTGCTGGCTGGTGGTGGGTTTGGGGGGGGGGGGGGGGGGGGGGCCCTTTTGCGGGGGGCCTGGGGGGTTGGGGGGGGGGGCCCCTGGGGGGGGGGGGGGGGGTCCCTGGCTCGGATCTCCCCTTCCCCCTGTTTCAGGTGGGGGTGCTGCAGTTCGGGGAGCGGGTGGTGCAGGAGGGGTCCCTGTGGATTTGGGGGTCCCCCTGGCTCTGACACCCCTGTTTCAGGTGGGGGTGCTGCAGTACAGGGAGCAGGTGGTGCAGGAGTGGGTGCTGGGGCAGCATCCTGGAGATTTGAGGGATCCCTGTGGATTTGGGGGTTCTCCGGAGATTTCTGGGGGTTCCCTGTGGATTTGGGGGTCCCGCTGGCTCTGACTCCCCCTGTTTCAGGTGGGGGTGCTGCAGTATGGGGAGGAGGTGGTGCAGGAGTGGGTGCTGGGGCAGCACCCCTGGAATTTGAGGAGTCCCTGAGGATTTGGGGGTTTCCCCGGGGATTTGAGGAGTCCCTGAGAATTTGGGGGTTCCCCAGGGATTTCTGGGGGTTCCCTGTGGATTTGGGGGTCCTGCTGGCTCTGACCTCTCCTGTTTCAGGTGGGGGTTCTGCAGTACGGGGAGGAGGTGGTGCAGGAGTGGGCGCTGGGGCAGCACCCCACGGCCCAGGCCCTGCTCGAGGCCGCCCGGAACCTGACGCGGCAGGAGGGGAGGGAGACGCGCACGGCCATGGCCATCCGGGAGGCCTGGTGGGCTCCAGAGCGGGAATGGGAGCAGGAACAGGAACGGGGGCGGGATTGGGGTCGGGATTGAGGTCAGGGGTGGGATCGGGATTGAGATCAGGGGTGGGATTGTGGTCGGGGTTGGATTGGTGTCGCGATTCGGATCGTGATAGGGATTGGGGTTTGGGTCAGGACTGGGGTCAGGGTCGTGGTTGGGATTAATTTTGGGATTAGGATCAGTATTGGAATCAGTATCAGGGCTAGGATCGAGTCAGGGTTTGGATGAGGGTTGGGGTTGGGGTCAGGACTGAGACCGGGATGTGGATCAGGGCTGGGGTTGAGATCGGGGTCCGGGTTGGGACCAGGGTGGGGTCCGGGAGCAGGATTAGGACGGGGCTCGTGCTGACGGCCCCGTTCGTTCCGGCAGCGCCGAGTCCTTCAGCGCCGAGCGGGGCGGGCGCCCGGGGGCCGCGCGGCTGCTGCTGGTGGTGACGGACGGGGAGTCCCACGACGGGGAGGAGCTGCCGGCGGCGCTGGCCGAGTGCGAGCGGCGCAACATCACCCGCTACGCCATCGCCGTGAGCTCCGGCCCCGTGTCCTCCTCCACCCCGGGGGGGTTGTCCCGCTGACCCCCGTCCCCGTGTTCCCTCCGCCCCGGGAGGGAGGAGTCCCCTTGACCCCCGGCCCCGTGTCCCCTCCGTCCCGGGGGGAGTCTCCCACTGACCCCCGTCCCCCTGTCCCCTCCGTCCTGGGGGGAGTGTCCCACTGATCCCCGTCCCCCTGTCCCCTCCGTCCCGGGGGAGGTGTCCCCCTGACCCCTGTCCCCCTGTCCCCTCCGCCCCGGGAGGGAGAAGTCCCCCTGACCCCCGGCCCCGTGTCCCCCTCCGTCCCGGGGGGAGTGTCCCGCTGACCCCCGGCCCTCCCGCAGGTCCTGGGGCACTACCTGCGGCGGCAGCAGGATCCCGAGGATTTCATCCGGGAGATCAAGTTCATCGCCAGCGACCCCGACGAGAAGTACTTCTTCAACGTCACCGACGAGGCCGCCCTCAACGACATCGTGGACGCGCTGGGAGATCGGATCTTCAGCCTCGAAGGTGCCGCGCCGGGGCCGGGAGCTCGGGAAGGGATGGGAATTCCGGCTGGAAGCGCGCAGCTGGAGGAACAGCGTCCCCTTCCTGCCGCTGTCAGGCACCCGTGAGGACAACGAGAGCGCCTTCGAGCTGGAGATGTCCCAGATCGGCTTCTCCATCCACCTCCTCGAGGTGATCCCGCCGGGAAGCCCATCCCGGCCCTGCTGAGCGTCCTGGGATGGGATGGTGGCCTTAGGGGGGGATTGCGGTGACACGTCCCTCCCATCCCGGCAGGACGGGATCCTCTTTGGAATGGTGGGAGCCTACGACTGGGAGGGGGGCGTGCTGGAGGAGAGCCGGCGAGGGCGCATCATCCCACCCCGGGAAGCATTCCAGGGGGAATTCCCGCTGGAGCTGAAGAACCACGCGGCGTATCTCGGTACGGGGGGGTCCCCAGGGATGGGGGGAAACCAGGGATACTCCATATTCTTGAGATCTGAGATGAACTAGGGATATTCCTTGTCCCGGAGATCTCGGGGGGCATATGGGATTCTCCGTGTCCCCAGGGATGGGGAGTGAGCCAGGGATGATCCAGGGATGAAACGGGAATGCTCCACGTGCCGGAGACACGGGGTGAAGTGGGGACACTCCGTGTCACGGATATTCGGGATGCTGAGATGCTCGCGATCCAGATATTTGTGATCCTGATATTTCGGGTGCCCCGGGAACACCCCGGGGGTCCCGTGTGCCCAGGGCTGTCCCCCCCGCTGACCCCGCTGCCCCCCCCAGGTTACTCGGTGTCCTCGCTGCGGCTGCCGGGGGGGCAGCGCCTGTTGGTGGCTGGAGCCCCCCGATTCCAGCACAAGGGCAAAGTCCTCCTGTTCCAGCTGGACCCCGCGGGCACCGTCACGGTGACCCAGACGCTGATGGGGGAGCAGGTGAGGGGAGGCAGAGGGGCCGGGGGGGGGTGGTGGTGTTCGGGGTCCCCCCCCCCGCGGCCTCACAGCCCTTCTGCACCCCCCCAGATCGGCTCCTACTTCGGCAGCGAGGTGCTGGCCCTGGACCTGGAGGGGGACGGGGCCACCGACCTGCTGCTGGTGGCAGCGCCCACCTACCTGGGGGGCCAGAGCAGGGAGGCGGGGAAGGTCTACCTGTACCGCGTGGGGCAGGTCAGGGGGGGCACGGCAGGGGCTGGGGGGGCTGCGGAGGGGCTTCGGGGGGGCAGGGGAGGGAGGGGGGATCTGTAGTGCGTGGGGTGGGTGAGAGGGAGCACGTGAGGGGCTGGGGGGCCGGTGGGAGGGGTCCCTGTGCCATGAGGGGCAGGTGAGGGGTTGGGGAGGTACCTGTGCCATGGGGGGGCAGGGGAGGGTGGGAGGGGTCCCTGTGCCGT